ATCTGGGGAGACTTCACCCTGTGCTGAATACAAAAACAAGAGCAATCGAATGTAAAGTGTGTTAACTGGGATTTTGAATTAACTATTTATTACATGCACATCTGCTTGTTTATCCTCACTACTTATTTCTTCCTCTGAAATATTATTTAATCTATTTTTCTCTTCTCTCCCGATATCTTCGTAACATTATTTATTCTTCTTGTCAGCTTCCTCCAAGTGATTACATTAAATGGGATTACTCAATTACATAATCGAATCATGTCTGCCATGAAAAAGTTTGGCAGCCTAACATTCCAGAAATCAAAGGACAATATAGCAGACGTGGATAATACTAGACTGTGACAGTGACCACTGACACTTTGAGTGCATTTGCTTACATATGTGACATACTGCGTAGACCTACTACTATAGGACTAATACACCAGTTATCAAGGCTGGATTACCCACCATGCAAAGCAAAAGGTCAGTGGGCTACAATATGTCAGCTGACCTCATTAATTTGTTAGGTTGACTACAAAATCAATTAGGGCTATGTGCATATTCCTTAAAACAGTTGTAGTAATTTCTTTAATAGTTTCACACATAAATCATACAAAAACACAAAAAAATAAGCAACACGCGCTAGGAATCCAGTATTTTTTTATCATCCTGATTTTCAACTGGGCCAATAATCAGCAGAGTGAACAGTATATGCCATTAGTATTTGGTCACATGACTTGTGTGGATCAGTGGTGCAGACTATGATTAATAGATAAATAATGCTGAGATTTTTTTTTTACTAAAAGAATGTAGATCTGTACAATAAGTTATAACTCATGAGTAATTTTCTTAACATTATGCTATGGAAAAAATGATCCAACAGTGTCCACAGTTTTATCCAGCAGGTTTGAAAATGTATGCAGTAGAGACCAACTGATTTATTGGTGGGTCGATATTATCAGCCGATACTGGCGCTCCACCTATCCTGTTATAAAGGTTGATTAAAGAAAGTAAAGAAGAAAAAGGTAGAAACACCCTTTAATCGTGTTATGAGTCTTAATGTTGCATTGTTTGCGAACTAAAGGGCAGTCTACAACTTCCCTGTTGGCAACAGGTACCACAAAATCAACAAGCAACGCCAGGCAGAGCTTAGGTGAGTAAACAAGTAAGTGCATAACAAATGTCAGGGAAATCTCTTTAAGTTTCATGTGTCTGAAAAATAAACTATATATATTCGCCAATATATCCGAATATTGTCGGGGTTTTTAATCATAACTAAATATTGGTATGGATATATCGCCTGTGTCAGTTGGCCTCCAGTTAGGAGGAATTATGCCAGATTACGGTGAAAACCTCGTGTGAATCCATATTTTGCTATATTCACTGTAAAGACAGGGAATATTATGATTATGCACAGGTGTGTATGGTAGAGTACAGCACAAGTACACATTCCCCTGCAAGAGATCACAATAAGTTAATTATATCGCAAAAGTGAAGCGGTGAAGGAAAAGGAGACTGGATGAACGCAATCCCTCCCAAGCTCTTAAGAAGCAGAAGGATATCCTATTCACGTAGCACCTGTGAGCCAACCTGTTAAACCGGGTCGACTGCTCAAGGAGGATGAGGAAAAAGTCAAGATTATTAAAATAACAGAAAAAGCTCAAATGAAAAACTAAACAGAATAAATAGCACCTATTATGCAATCGCCACCATCCACCCCTAATCAAAAACAAAATTAAAAAATAGCTTCATCAAATAAAACATTAAAATTTATTTAGCTGTTATTGTTTTATTATTCTTTTTATTTATTTATTTCCGCAGTGTTGTAAATCAGTCTATTCTCCTTTCTCCGTTTAAAAAAAAAGGACTGTTTTGACATATATCGCCTATCGTCTTTATCAGGGATTGTGGGGAATCCCATAATTGCTCAACCAACGCAGGCCTAAAGCCAAATAAAAACGCAAAAACAAAACTCGACTCACCTCCGATGGAGCTGAAACACAGGAATATTGCAGATATTGTGAGCAGCAGCAAAGCCGTCCTCATCGTGTCGGCTGTGTCCACACGCCAAAGAAACGCGACCCGAATCCGTCTAATTTCAGCTGCGTCTCCTCAGAGCTCACGACGCAATCCGAGCTGACAAACGCAGGCCGACAGGTTCAAGAGGTTTGACAGGTCCTGCTTCCGTGTACGAGCTGGCATTTCTCTTCTTCTGCGATTGTAAACACGTGAGTGAAGTTTAGTGCCACCTAGAGGCTACATGCTTTTATAACAAGAACGTGCTGACGGAGAAAGCGTGGCGATTGTGGTTTCATTACTTTCACGTCCTTCTTATTGTGCAGTTTTATCATTTCAGCTGCCCAGCTCAGCCTGTGACACCGCTGAATCTCTAGAGCCCATCTATGGTAGTATACGGCACGAAATCATTATACTTTTGTATTTTTTTGATTCAATATTATGATTTATTTTTATTTCGTCTCAGTTCACTACCAAAGTGGATCTGCTTGTTTAAGTTGGGTTTGTTTGTTTGTTGTTTTGTTTGTTTGTTTGTTTGTTTTTGCGGGGGTGGGGTAGTTGTGGGGCGAGATTTGACACGTTCAAATGAGGTGTTACAATAGAAAAACCTTTCAGTGTCATCAAACAACATACCTCGCCTTGCTTCTTTTGTTGGAAAGCCATATTAACAGACACTAACACTAATCTGGAGTTCTCTCTATTTTCAAGTCAATCCGTCTATTTTCTTCCACTTATCGAGTTCAGGGTTACGGGGTGGGCGGGGCCAATCTTTTGTATGGCTAACACACAGGCACAGAAAAGCATTCACATTGCCTATGGGCAATTTTAAATGACTAATTAACCTAATCCCATGCATGTCTTTAGACTGTTAGGGGAAGCCAGAGTACCGGGAAGTAGATAACGTGCAAACTCTGTAAAGAAAGGCTCCACAGGACCTGTGGCTAACAGTGGTGACCATACAAGATACAGTTATTTTATATTTATTATTTTTATTTACTTTTAGCTTTTTTTCAGCTTACTTATAATCAATTATAATATCTTTGGTGCTTAAATTATGATAAAGACGTGTCACTATAGGTTAAGGGACAGTTTTTCATGTCCTGCTCCCAGTCATAGTGTATCACCATTGTTGTAACAATGTTTCCTCCAACATTTCCTCCAAATGTGCCTACAGATATTACTGTATTTAATTCCATATATGAGTAAAGACAGGGATGTTCGAGGCAGCTCTGCCTTTACTCGACTTAGTTTAATTTAAAAGCTATGTGGAAACCACTAAAATTACACACATTACACAAATTTAGGGCACGCCTATTTGACCTCATGAAAAAAAGTTGTGTTTATTATACTCTTTTATCCACCATAGAAGAAGAGATGGGGGTCTCATTTGTGTTATACTGCCACACACGGGTTAAGTGTAGGCATTGTTGATATTTTTCCTTCACGCTTGTAATTTCACCTTATCAGCAGATGGCAGTATTGGCATGTAGTACAATTAAAAAAACACTTTACTTGTGCCGTTATCTATGTAGGTTAACTTTGCTTTGTTACATTAAACCAAACGTAAAGGGTATGGAAAAGCATTTCTTCTAGTAAGCAATGGCCAAAATAAAACACCACAAAAAAAGCCATGACAATACCAATATCGCTGGCCTTGGAGCTGAACATGTTCAGCAGTTTCGGAGATAATGATCTAAATGTTAATTAGAGGTGTTTTACATCTCAGTTGGGTGCAGGAGACCTTCAGGCTCTTGTAATGAATTTGTCTTAATTGTGGCAGGCTATTTGACATTTGAAAAGTCCGATGATCCCTCTCATTCTTGACACCCATTTGCATTTCCATCTTTAAGGTCAAATGGGTATGAATAATACATTACGGAGGTTCTTAAGCTCACAGCCAGCCATACCTGTCTTCACAAACGAGCCAGCTGAGGCTTGCTCAGCTCAGTGAATGCTACAGAAACAATCAATTAATATCACTTTGGGAAACCGCATGTGAAGCATCCTGTAATTAGTAGGAATATAAGGTCACAGAGTCAATGGCAGATATAGGTTCAGCTTTTTTTTCTCCTGATTATGCTCATGCATAAACACTGGCCTTGCCTTAAATGTGCTGCAGCTCACAGTTTAAGTGACTTCTCAGATAAGAGATCTGGAGGCAGCATTACGCAAGTAAGGTATCAAACGGTTAACCTGGAATAAATTTAAGATCAAAGGAAGGCCCAAAAAAGGAACCTTGGCAAGAGATTGGAGGAATTTAATGAGCAAAAATTAACATGTATTAAATCTGACCTCGTGCTTTACATGGCAGATGTTGAGCAGAGCAGCATCCAGACACGTTACTCGAGATAAACAGCCGTGTGTTACATGCCGACTGCAAGATAGCCTCTGTTTGGTTTCAAGTGGATGGTGTGATTAAATAAAAAATATTTCTTTCAATATAGCAAGACCAATTTAGCATTTAAAAAATAATAATAATAAGCAGGCACGGGTATGGAAATGTATTTACCTGCACATATGAACTTATTCACTTAGAGACTGGGCTTCATAATAGGGGTACTGTCTTTGGAGAATTGAACGCCGGGCTGGATGCATGGCCTCGAGGAGACAGATTTGCTGACTGTTTTGACAACTCATTACCTGTAATTTCACTGATGGATTGGTGAGGTGGCTCAGAGCAGGCAGCCGTGGCATCAGAGCACGAGCGGTTTGTGTCTGGAATGATGTAAGATAGAATGGCAAACAAGCAAATGCTTATTGTGCCTAATGATTGCTTAAAACAGAGCAGGGCACACTTGACAGTTTGGTGCCTCTACTATATAAGGCCCCAAACAGAAACGCATCCTCAGTCCCGCCGCTCTGCAGTTTTAGAACAATGTTTAAAGTGAATTTTAAAAATATATATGACACAGACCACCTTTTTTTTTTTGCTGGCGGCAAATGGATGATGCCTCTCTGACAATGTCATTGATTATTTATGTTTCATCTGAATGTAGAAAATCAGCTAAGACAGACAGATCGTTCTCTGTGTCATCGTTAAGTCTTTATATGTAAATGCATGTGAAAAAGTAACATTTCCCAGCTCCCTGCGTCTCTCCCAGCAGGTAACATCTTGCTTAAGTTAAATTGGTAGATAGAGGGGTTGTAAGTGATCTCGTCCTGGCCGGCCTCCCCCCCTCTGCTCCCACATAATTGGTCTATCCCTGGCACTACTACTCATCTCCAAAGCCACCAAAAACTGTAACCTACCTTGTGTATTTTTTCACTAATTGAAATGCCTAATGAGGTCCCAAGGGCTCCATCCCATTACCTCTGAGTTAATTAAAGCCTAAGCAGTGTGCCAAACGGTGAATAAAGATGCAGCAAAAGTGCAAAAGGAAAAAAGGGGAGCCCGAGTAGGGTACGGTGCACTGGGATGGAGGGTTGACCTGCTTTTTTTTTTTTTTTGTCATTGTTGAGGGATGCCACATTCCAAGAATGAGCAGATGTCTATTATTTTTTTATTTGCGTCTATACCGGGCTTGAAATTTCCATTACCCTGGCTCAGGCACTCATTTTCCAGTGTGGTTAGCCTAATTCTGCTTTATTAAACATTAAAGTCTTTGCCACCGTCAGGAGGGTTTTGCTGAAGACGTTCTCACGTTAGCGCTGAAGGATAATGCAGGCATAAAAAAAACCTGACAGCTGTGTTTGTTTTTTGTTTGGCTGCCCCCTCCAGTTTAAATGCAGCCCTGATAAAATCATACTTGTCTTTAAATGTGATTTTTCTACATCTACAGTGTCATGCCCTGTGGTCACTTTTTATAGGAACGCTAATCCAAACCACATCACCTTGTTAAAGCAATTTCTCCTTGTTAAACGACCAGAAACAGCATTGAAAAGACAGACTTGAGATATTTCTTTTAAGAAACAATTTCAAATGTTTATTTAACATGTCAAAGAAGGGGCACACACTCGTGAATTTAAAAAAAAAAAGAGGGGTTGGGGGGGAGAAGGGGGTTGCAATTATTGGCCAGTACTAAGACTTAAACTTCATACTAACATTAATCAGGTTTTGGCTAAAGTAAAAGTGTGTTTTTTGTTTCTTTTTTGCTTTTATAAAAGAAACTATGTACATTGGTTCATTTATACAAGAGGTTCATTGGATAAATGCATCAAAAACAAAAACAAAAAAACAAACCAAAACAAAAAAAAAAAGAAACCAGTTCTGCAGTAAACTTTACAAAAAATACATTTTTGTTTTCATTGAGAGATGTAGAAAAGGAGACGGTCAAATATTGACCAATAATATTTCATCCTTTTCATTATTTAGAAAAAAAAGTTGTTCTAATAACTATTTTTTTAAAAGAAAAGCAATCAATATACAGCACAATAAATGGGGAGGAAAGAAAAATTGCCTTTGTGAATTCATTCAGTTGGTTTGGTAACCAAGGAGAGGGGCTGCGACTGGAACAGGGCATGATGGGAATGAAGGGCCTGGTGGAAGGGCGAAGGGGGAGACAGCATGGAGGGGTGCAGAGAGGTGAAGGGGATTGGCCGGGTGAGGATGGGTGTGTTTGACTGGCTACCTGAAGTACCAACGGGGATGGAGATGGTGGGTTGGGAGGAGGAAGAGGAAGGGGTGGAGGAAGAGGAGGATGAGGAAGAGGAGGATGTGGACCCGGAAGCTTTCCCGGGTATTGAGAAGTGGTGTTGCATGCGCCCCTCCGGTTTGGTGGTGAGCGATAGCGGCTGGGCCTGTTCGGAGTGAGTGGCAGCGGGGGCGGCGGGGGAGGCCAAGGCTGCGGAGGGAGTCGCCGGTGAGTCCAGCATGCTTCCGTGAGACGACGCGGGGCTGTCGCACATCTTCTCCGAGGTCAGGTACTGCACGCACTGCTTCTTGCTTCTTATCGAGAAGTCTGCGGGGAAACGAGGAAAAGTGAGCAAACTGAATTATGGATCCGCCGCTGACTTCAAATCTGGTGCAAGTCCCTTTATGCCACGTCCAACAGAAGTGAATGAGTGATTATTTAAGCAATGAAGCACGATGTTAAAGTTAGAAACAAGACCTTTTTTTAAACTGACAACAAGAAGACTGAAACAGGATGTTCACAGCATAATACGAATGGTATGTGTGTATGGGTCAAAAGAGGAACAACACAAAATGTACACAAAATGTGCACTAAAGAGTGAAAAGCTCCCTTTTTTTGGCCAAT